AAACCTGGTTTAAAAGTCTGATTCAGTCACTGACTTAGCAAACACGAAGCGCTAGCAGCTGCAGCTACATGTCTCAGCATCCACCTGCCTGTCAAAGAGGACACGACCCTAAACTTAAAACTGGACATTTATGACAGGGGTCTGTGGAGATGGACTCACTTTGGGAGTCTAAGCCCCCGTTAGAGCACCTTTGGTTTTCCAGCCCTGAAGGCTGTGATGCCTAAACCTGCAATGCTTCGATCCCGTTTTGTAGTTTAGTGTTTTTATTTTCTTCAGTGTTGTTTTTTGGTAGTTTTCTCTCCATTTGTTACATTTTTTGTTTATTATCATTTTATAATAAAAAAAAGTTTAATATTATTACCTCCTTTGATGTTAAGCAAAGCTTGTAATAGTAAAGTTTCATTATTGCTCATTAAGTTGTTCTTGGGTCACAGTAACCTGATTTCTATTACAAGTACTCTGTTTATAGTCTAATTTACATCCTGTTGTACATTAACAACTTTTTTCCCTTCATTTCAACTCATTTCCAAATGAGCGATTGCTATAATTAGTGTGCAATTTTCCTTTTTTCTGATTTTCCTCATTGCATAATCTGGATTCTCTTTCAGCTGGGGATGTTTTAAATTATTTAGGCTGAGGTCATAAATCAGGCATTCTTCTCTTTTTTTCCTCTTCCTGGGAATTTAATGTCTTTGTTCATTTTTCACTTGTTCAAACAAATGAAACTGAACAGTTTTCCTCCTCTCTCTCGTCTCTCAGTCAGCAGTTTCTATACGTTTGTTTTTCTTCCTTCACACTAACTGCTTCTAATTAAAACTATCGCTGCCATAATCTCATTACGTGTAATCTAATCTTGACTCACTCATGTGTCTGTCAGACATTTAGAAAGTGGGGGGAAAAGAACTCCTCAAACTTCTCGTTGTGGGATCATTTGTTTGGCTTCAGAGTTTGGATCAGTTTCCCACGGTGAAAATAAAATCCCTGTGAGTGATGTCTGAAGGCTCGCCTTGTGTTTGTTTTGGTAAAATTTTGTTGAATCCTCACAGGAATAATTTCAGAAATCAGACTGGAAAGTTTGAAAATGCAGCTTGCAGACTGACAGAGAGGAGGTCAAGGCAGGGCTGTGTGTGTCACACATTATTAGCAGTAAGTAGAGGCAGCTGGTGATTGAGGGATGGACCATCCTGTGTGACAAGAAGATAAAATATTTAAGCCGTGTGAAGGTGAAAAACTTCAGAAATTATTTAAAAATGGAATTTGGGAACAGGGATCATTTTAATCTGATTAATATCCGATTCTCGTCTGATCAGCACCTCTGTGACCACTTAAAGGTTTGACAGTAACAACTGACAGCACCAATACATGAAGGGTAAACACCAAAGACTGTATATAAAAGATGGCTGGGGTCTTCGTGATGTAACCCTTTTCTTTCTAGATACATTTTGAAGGTTCAATGTTACCATCATGACCACTGATCATGCCGTTTTTGGGAGCCATACGTGATCATATTTGTTAGATACAGTAAAAAACTTTTCAGCTAATGATAGCAAGCTAATAACACCTTCAGTCATTTTTTTTTACATTGCTAAAGCTACTTTCATAAACATAATTTAAATTTAATTAATGGAAAAGAGAATTTTCCCCATCAAGGACAAACTTTTTGGACTCCTTCACAAGTAAATCATATATATCTGTAAATATAATGTAGCAGCAATAAATCCAGATGGATGAGTTATAAAAAAGACAACAAAGAAATTCTATAACGATGATGTTACAAGAGGCTAAAATCATTTTTGTACCAGACCAGTTATTTCTGCTCTATAACAGGACATTTGGAGAGACTCACTTCTGGAAAGAGCCTTAAGCCAAGTCGGCTCACAGTAGTAATATTTTCTGTGCAGAGATGAAAGCGCTGTCAATTTTTGTTGTAAACAAGACAAATTTCAAGCTCAACAAATTGCCGTGGACATAAAAGTGGTTACATTTTTCTGTCATCCCCAGAAAGTTAATGTAGTTCAGGTGATTTCAGCAAACAATGTAAGACAATAAGATCACAGAGAGCATCATGGGTAAGAATCAAAAGTGGATGTCAGCTTTATTTTCCTCTGGAACAACGTCTTTTTGCTATTTGATCTCATTTTGTCAATCTTTTTAAAAAATGGGAAAGGGAGGAGGGAGGGGAGCTGAGGGAATCATGCAAACAAGATTGAGCTGAAATTGGAGACTTTCTGTTTGACATTACAGAGCAAATGATTATCATCATCATCATCATCATCAGAGGCCCCAAGTAAGTTTCACTTTCTGTTCAGGTCATCATCAGAGTTTAACACTGAAAATGTCAGAAGTAGGACTTAGAACACAGAAGGTAAATCTTGATATTGCCTAAATTATTATTAGAATACTTACCTATTTAATTAGAAACATCTGTTGGAGCTACATTTTTCTCAGGTTATAGTGTTAAAGTCCGGCTTCTGGATTCTGAACAAGAAGTGAGTTTGGTCAAAGTTTCACTTTAGTCCCAACTGATCCACAGTTTGCATCTTTCTATATACATCGTTGGATCAAGCTGCGTTCTGAGTAAAGAGATATTTCTCTCAGGTGCAAAACTGTTTTACTTTTAAGAACACAAACGAGTCTGTAAGAGTTTGAGGGGCACCTCTGTCCAGATGCTCGACTGCCCAAACATCTGGATTTATTATCTTTATTGCAGAGGCTGGAGGCTGCCAGTTGCTAGGTGAAGTTGGATGCTAACAGGGTGCTGCACCAAATCCTCCTCATTGCTTTGGTCACTAGCAGGTTGCTTCTGTTGCCTGCAGTTTGCACAGAAGATGTGTCTGTAAAAACAGTTGCCAATCAATAGTGAAAGAAATAGAACCATTCACCTGCAAAAATAACAGTTTTCACCTTTGGAAATATGCCGTGTCAGCACTAATTTCATGGTTTTTTTACTAGTTTCTGGTTTGCATCACACCTTTTGGTTTTCTGCACAATTTACAGCTGAGAGCAGTAACCTGATAGAGGTCAGAGGAATCCCAAGGACGTGTTTGGTGTAGCAATGTCCACCAACCAGTGTGGGGTTTTTCTCTGGAAACCTGTGGTTTCCAGGTGGATTCTCACTGGTTTGTAGGCCTGTGTGACTTTAGCGATGATTCTGTCATCAGCCTTCACCAACTGGTTGGGGAATAAACATTTTTCCAATTTCTCCAGGCCTGTGTGAGGTCTAAAGGTGCTCCTGACCTCTCTGAGACACGCATGTGATAAAAAATAAAATAGTTTCCCTGCAGTGAAACATCTGTTTGAGTTTTGGTTTGGACAGCAGAGTTACATCCACTCGGCCGGTCTTTGGAAAGAGAAGCTACAGTTTTCAGATTATTAACATTATTAAAGCTTTTTTAACGCTCAGGCACAAAAACCTATTTGGTGTTCATCTGGTATTAAATGTGCTTTTTACCCTCAGTCGTTTTAATAGAAAGTGAATCGTTATGACACAGGACTATTTACACATCTGAGATCTGAGTGGATTCAAACTTGCATTGCGTAGCAAATATACTCTACCAGACAACATGATAAACTATTCTTCAAAACCCAAAATTTGTTAACATGTTTGTGCCTCATCTGAGATAAAAAAAAAACAACCCATGAACTTAAGAAATGTTTAGCATACGAAAAAGAAATTAAACACATGCTGTCAACTTCATATTGAAACCTTTTAAAAAAATGATTATTTCATCAAGAAAAAAGAAATTTCAAGAAATCACATCCATCATCTCTGCACTATTTCCCTCTTTTCTTCATCATCTCTAATATTAAATTATAAACATTTTAAAACAAAAGTGCCTGAAGCATGATATGAGGAAAAAGATAAATATAATTTGTTTCCTTTGTCCTTTCTTTTTTTTGTCTGTTTTTTGTTTTGTTTTTTTACAGTACATACTCTTTGTATGATGTTCATTTTGTGATGTAAAACTCGAGCGTCATCCTCAGACGTTCGAGTCGTTGCTCACTGTTTGCTTTGGTCGCGCCCTCCTTTGGCATCACTGTTGCAAAAAGAAAAAAAGAAGTAAAGCTACAGACAGACCATTAGTCTTAATATTTTTGGTATTTCATTGTTATTGTCCCGGTTTCAGGAAAGAGTTTTCTTTGGAGGGAACCCTGTTGTGGATTCCAAAACGTCCCCAATAAATATTCAAAAGTTTGTTAGTTCGACTCCTCCGTCTGAATCTCTGCTGAGAAAAAAAGAAGGAAAGAAAAGAGATCTTTGGTTTGGTTGAATCAGGAGTTTCTCCAGCAGGATGAATGTGGCTTGAATGCTGCTCCTCTCCAGAATTCTCAGTCAGTCAAGTCAAAAGTGTAAACAGTCAGACAAACGTTCCCACCAAGACAGATAAATCTGAAAAAAGTCTTAAGTAAAGACCCCCATCCACACAGAAACATCGGGAAAGCATGAAATCTGTTCCCTCTCTTCCTGTGTGCTTTAATAAAGAGCATTCAGTTTGTTTGCAGAGACATGTGGCCTCTACTGTGTGTTTTCAGAAACACTGGACATATCCTGATATAAATCTGGTGACAGTTAAAATAACTGTTTTTTTAATGGTCACCTGACACTGCATCACTCAGGAGAGAGAGAGGCCCAAAAATGAGCCCAAATAAAAAGCAATAGTTAGTATTTATTAGGGGACCAACACATTTAACTCCCTCTGCTGGCATCAGCTAAGACCTCCAGGGAAAACCATCCTGATCCAGAATCAGCTACAAAGTGAGGATCTGAAATTAGGAGCTGGTTATTTATCATACACTGACTCTTCTTCCCATCATCAAAAAAAAGTCTGCAATGGTCACGGCAGACAGCGCCAGCTCCCTGAGCCAGAGGTGTTTTTCCTGTTTAAAGGGAGTTTTTCCTTCCCACTGTTGCCTTTCTCATAGGGATCATCTGATTGTTGGGGTGTTCTCTGTATTATTTTAGGATCTGTACCTTACAATATAAAGCGCTTTGATGCAACTTTTGTTATGATTTGGTGCTAAATAAATAAAGCCGTATCGTGTCCGTTAAAATGGGTCGATCTATTCAGCTAATAGATGAAGGAAGCTAACAATGACTGGTGGAGAGTTTGGACATAAATGCCACAACCAGCAGCTTTTCTCTGTGTGTTTGCAAGTTTTTTACTTCAACCGCAGTCAGGTGCGTCAACACGACTGAAAAGTTACAACAACCATGACACTTCCTCTCATGTTGTTTGATTTAAAGCTTGTTGGAAAGCTGTTATTGCATTACTGTGGTAACTTAAGGTGCTGTCATCAACTTAAAAGCAAGAAAAGGTGAAACAAATGTGATCGTAAATAAGACCAAAGTGACTCTCACACTACACTGAAATGATACTTGCCCAAAAACATTTACCATACATTCCCATTTTGTTGTTTATCCCTGGAAACTCCTGGAATTTGCAAACTTTATTTTTAATCCACACATTTAATTTAGTGCAGGTTGGACCCAATTAACACAGTGATGCTCCTCAGGAGCTTTATTTCTGGAAAACTAAATTAGAATTAATATGAAGTGAGCGTCTTGGTGTGGATGGAGGTCCAAACCTGAAGAAAGAGTCACATTTTCATATTGAACTGTCTTAATGTGGACGTGGTCTCAGTCGGGAAACAGTCGGGGGTTAATCCACCTCGATGGACTCGCTGGTCTCGTTCACGGGTTTGCACTCGTTGGGAAGTCGCTGATGGCGGCTGAGCTGAGTGGCCTGTGTGAAGCTGCGGTCGCAACGCTCGCACCTGACGCACAAACAGAAAGACGCACAAAAGACAGCGATTAGAGGAGTCTGCACGTAGAGAAGCCTGAACAGAGCTGAGGAGAAATACACTTTAAAAGGCAAAACCTTAACATCTGCTGACGCACATGTACACAATCACGCGCACGCACACACCTCCCTGTTAACCCTAATATCCAGTGACAGTATAAAGTGTGTGTGAGGCCCAGCGGAGCAGCAAGCTGTAATTGTTGCCCTGATCCTCACAACCTGACCGACAAATTACACACAGTCCACCTGTCAATAATCTATCAGGCGGGCTGAGGAGGGTATTCCCATCTCACACACTTTAACACACACTCAGATATATCCAGGCCCGATAAGGCAGTGTCACTGTCACTTTCAATAGAAGTAGAGAAGAGAGGGAGCTTTTAGTGTGCGCTGGAGGGGGGTTAGGGGGTAATTTAAATGTATATGAATGTGTGTGTGTGGGGGGAGGCTCTTCAAAGAGAAAGCTGTGTGGAGATATTGGACTTAACAGCCCTGAAACAAGACTAACGTGCTCTCGGATAGATAGATAGGTTGAAGGGGAGGGAGGTGGTGTTAGACACAGGAGGAGAAACAGTGTGGACTGGACAGCGGTCATTAGGAAGCTCTTTAACCAGAGCTTTTCCTCATTAAACCTCATAAACACGACACAGTTTTCTGATACAGCTTCTGCCACTACATTCATCACAGGGCCTGACTTTCTGTCTCGTACATAAGGTGATCACTGCCATAAACCGGCAGCAGGATTATTGGATGCAGGGTTGCTCAACTATAGCAAAAAACACTCATTATTTAGGTCAATATTTATAATAATAAAGTTATTTATTCCTTAAGCTTTGTGCATTTGCTGAACTTTTTAAAAGAGTATTTATCTGAGATTGCATCTAAAAGATGGATGTAGCCACAGTGAAGTCAGCCGGTGTGTTTGTGTTGAAGTCAGTTCACATGTGGACAGCTAAGACACTTGTAAGCTGGATGGGTGCAGCGCACAAAGCAACAGCATCAGCATTATTCCCTCCGAAATGTTGCTAAACCCACAAACTCTGTCATGATGTCTGGTTCATTGGCTTGAGTTTTTTGAGGGAAGACAGCTTGTTGACTGCTGCCTGTGTCAAGATCCTTTCAATTCAAGTTGCCACAAGCTTCAGTGAAATCCAGGTTAAAAAAGAAGAAGAAGAAAAACTAAAGAAAAACCTTATTGAGCCCATACAGTTATTAAAGCTTTCTCCTTCTGTGAAGGTGGACATTTAAAAAAGGAAGTCTTCAATGATTATCTCACTTATGGCCTCAGCTTCAAGTGAAGTATTTCTCAATTTCCGAACAGGGAATGCAGGGACGATATGGGTGTTCAACCATCTAGCGTTGACACCATTAATGTGGTGGAAAGTTGCAGAGACAGTCATCAACTGCCAAGAAGAGCAGGACAGGTTAACTGAACTGATGTCTGACGACGGGTCACATTTGTAGCTTTTTGGATTTGGTGGTTTTATGGTCGCTCTAATTAAAATCAAATGTTTTTAAATGTGTTATTTAAACGGTGTAATTTTAGCTAATGTTGCTGATCTGACTGACCACTGTAAACCAAATTTCATCCTAACATTTTGAATAGATTACTGTCAAACATGTTGCTCCTGGGCGAACCTTAACCTTAAGGTCTCAGAGAGAAGCATTTACCATGAAGGATCATGTACTTTGCATTCAGTTTTATTCCAAAACGTCTGCAACAGCTGAGACCTGAACTGGTGCGACACATTTTGTAAAAGCAGCTCTAGACTGAAAGTACATTAAAACAATGAAGCTTGTGAAACGCGTTTTCAGTGGGCTCCACCTATGTTAATCTGCTTGGGTCCCTGTAATGTAAATTTCAGCATCAGTCAGAGCGTGCAGCGGTCTGCACAGACATCCACCCGCTTGCCTGTTTTCAGGTGTCCAGACAACGCTGCAGCGACTTCTGCCTTCTCATTACTTTGTCTGTCACTCTTAAATAACCAGTTTCTTTAAAAAGAATAAACACAAACTTCTGTTTAAGCTTCACCAAAATTAGTTTGACAGAAACTGTTAGCTCGCCCCATCACATCACAGGATATGAATGTTTTTCTGTGATCACATGAATTTAAAGAAGTCCTGTATGTTTATATATATTACATATACGTGTGTGCATGAGGACCAGACTTTGAGCTGATGGATCTGAAATTATTCTCATTTTCTAAATTTTCTTGCAGCACAAGAAAAAGAAAACAGACCCCCGACTGCTCTGCCATTAAGGTGGATGTTCCTGCTGTCATTTGTCTGTGAATTTACAAAACCACAACAGCTACGGACTTCAAAGCTCCTCTGAAGCTTCTCTGTCACAGCGACTTATCCAGGCACGAAGACGGCTGTCCTGCACAACAAAGAGCAGAGCTGAAACGAGGCAGCTGCAGTCCGCTGGCTATCGACCAGCGGGCGTCTGTTAGCGGCCGCCGCCTCCATTTCTCAGCAGGGAAAAATAATGTTGAGTTGTTGTCCTGACAAAATGACAGAGGCCGCTTTAATCACTTTCCCTCAAGGATCAGTGAAGTTTCAGCTCACCTCTTATCTTAATCTCATCTGTACGGATGTGGATCGAATGCGAGATAAACAAGTACAGACTGTGTTCAGTCACAGACTGATAGAAGCTGAAGGGCTAGAAGAAGTACAGACGAAGTCTTCATTTACAACAACGTTCAGCACCGAGACCGAGCAGTTCAGACAAACTCTGACCACACCTTTACTTCAAAATCAAAGGCTGTGTTTGTGGGAAACGTGCAACTCTGGTTAGTAAGATCTCTTTCCTGAGGGAATATTTTTGAAAAGAAATCATGATCTAACCATGCATTCATGTGGTGTTGGATTAACTGGAAAAGAGAATTTCCCACTGGGGAAAATCCACATGAACACCACCTTAAAGTTGGAACACTAACTGGGAAAGTCTGAGAAATTGTTGTTGAGCTTTTGCAGTCACACATTAAAACATGGCGGATGAAAGACAATATTTTGTTGAGTGCAAGAAACTTTTTCAATTATTGGCGCAAAATGCTCAAAACTTGTTTGGGCAGCACCATCGAAATGAAATTTCACGAACTGGTCTTTAAGGTGTCGCGGATAAATACAACAAAATAAAATGATACGACCAAGACAAAAACTGTGGTATTTTATAAATATAATGATAAACGCGAAATTCACTGTGTAATTGTGTAACTTTATTAGCAGCGTCCTCCTGAAATGCGCCAACAACACTGAGAGTAACATCCTCCTCTCTGCCCCTTAATGGTTGCCATGGTAACGCGTAAATATTTCTTTCAAAATAAGACACACAAAGCGCATGAAAATATATAGGAAATTTATTCATAACACACGGGAAAAGACCCAGGGAAACTGAGTTAACGATAAAAACCCTGAAAATCATAAATTTCACACCCGAGCCTGAACTCTCGCAGCCCGGAACCAAATAACTCGTCCGGGGCCCGGGTGTTGGGGACCGCTGCTGTGTCACGGTCCTGAGTCTGGCGACTCATTGTTTATGTTCTTGTTTATTATTATTCTTTGATTGAGTTAGTTTCCGCTTATACTTTAGTAATTTTTAGATCTCAGGTTTTGTTACTGTCCTTCTCTTGTGTTCCATGTGTCACATCAAGTCATGTCAAGTGCTATTGTCCGTTTTTTCCCAGTCTCCATATTCATGCACCTCCCGTGTCAGTCATGTCTCCGTGTCGCAGTTTGTTATTGTCTCTGTGCTCCATGTTCTCTCTGTCTTCTCTGTCTCCTTGTCAAGTCTGCGTTCCCGTGCCTGTGTTCAGTATTTCCTGTTTTATTTTGACAGTCTGGTGTTCAGTGTTTTCAGCTTTGCTTCCGCCCTTTCTCGTTTGGTCAGATTAGCCCCAGCTGTATCTCACTCCTGTTTCCCATTCCCTCGTTACTCCCTGGTGTATTTAAGCCCTGTGTTTTCCTCTGTCCGTTGTCACGTCACGTTACCCGTTTAAAGTGCTTTATAAATAATATTGAATTGGATTGGATTAGATTGCTATCTAGTTTCCAGTTTAGGTTAAGTTTCTGTGAGTTTTGGGTTTTGTTTGATTTTTGCTACAGTGCAATAAAGCTGCTTTTTTATTTCATCTGCATTTGGGTCCTTCATCCTGCCTGCCACACAGCGCTGCATGACAAATAGAGTCAACAAATGTTTAAAGAAACATTGAAAAAAATGTTTAGTTTTCCTAATTTATTACAAGAGGTAATGACTCTACCAGCATCCACTACACAAAAGCATAATCTCTGTGTGCTGGCTATAGAAATAGGCATTTGTTAGTCCTAAAGCATAGTACATATTAGTGTTTTGGGTTTTTTGTCAGTATTCGCTCACTCTGAATGCTGTCTCTATGCAGCTTCACAGTAATAGAATCATAAATATAATGTACTAAGGCAAACAACTTTCTGTGGTCTCCAGGATGACATCATTTAAAGCTAAGACGTTGCTTCTCTGAACAAAATACAGAAGAACAAAAAGCGGAGCAGAGAAAACAGCAGCACGCTTTGACAGCCTGCACAGTCCAGTGAGCATCAGCACCGAAAAGCTGCCGACCACACAGAATCGCGGCCTCCGTCTCCTCAGTGGGAAAATAAAGTTGAGCGTTTTCCTCCTGACAAAGTGACAGTGGCAGCTTTAATCTATCCGCTGCACCGTCCGAAAGGAGATAACTCCCCGAGGCCATCGATCCGCTAAAGATTTCTGACGCACGTCCGTGATTGTCTTTGTCCCGCTCTGCCTCCACCGAGACTCTGAAGTGCTGATGAAAAGGTTCGGGGGTTTCCTCTGATTGCTTATTAAGAATGCTGATTTGGTTTAACTGAATTTAATCGCCACCGCTTGTCGTTTCACTTTTTACACCATGATCTCTTGTTCCTCCTTGCTCTCTCTCACTCATCCTTCTCGCCTCTTCGCTCTCCACGTCAATGATGACTTTGGATTTCTCTGATTGCTTATTAAGAAGGTTAATTTGATTCTATCCCCGTGTTCCCCTGATGCCAGTCCTTTAGACTTTGCACAACTCAAACATCTTATTTTGCTTTCTTCACTTTCTTTTATGTCTCTTACTCTTTGGCCCTTCTGGCCTCCACTTGAATGCTGACCTCTTGGTCCACTGGAGGAATCCTTATTGTCCTCTGTTGCTGATTAGATGACAGGATGACAACAACAGCATCCAGAAGCCTCGAATTGCAGCGTGGCATGCCCTCTAATTATATTAGCCTTAACCAGCAGAAGAAAATGGAAATGAGTGTGGGGAGATTCATTACCGGGCTGTTAACAGATCCTGTATTTACACTGGACAATCTGCTGATGCCCTCTGATTTACAATGAGGAACAAACAAGAGAATTTCCTCATAGTTTAACGTTACAGGCAGCCAACAGTAAAGCATCAAAGGTCAGAGGTCACAGCAGACATGATGGAAGTGAATGGAAGAAAATATTATCACGAATAATGAATAATAGAAAAGTGATTGAGAAAGTAGTAAGGGATATAAAAGCAGTTTGCAAATGACTCTTATTATGATTTTGGTTTTTAGGACCAGAGCTAAATTTAGAGCTGAAGACCAAAAAGAAAAATGTAGACAACAAATCAACTGGTTTCTAAACTTCTGAAGCGTTTGGTAGTTTCAGTGAAAATGTGTTAGCCACCATCACGTTTGATTTTTGGAGGCAGAAGTGATGCGTTTGGATGGAGTGCTAACTTATCAGCTAACGCTAACTAGTTTGGTGAGCAAGCTGGATGTAAGTGTGTAATGCACAGACTGATAGCGGCGTATTAGTGCTTCTTATTAGTGCATCAAAACTGAGGCATGGACTTCTTAGATGGTCTTTTCTCATTTTTAAACTCCAGTGTCTCCTTCACATACCTTTAGATCAGGAGAGGGGAACTCAAGCCCTCAAGGGCCGGTGTTCTGCAGGTTTTAGACGTGTCCTTGATCCAAATGGCTAAATTAGCTCCTCAACATGTCTTGAAGTTCTCCAGAGGCCTGGTAATGAACTAATCATTTGATTCAGGTGTGTTGACCCAGGGTGAGATCTAAAGCCTGCAGGACACCGGCCCTTGAGGCCTGAATTTCCTCACCCCTGCTTTAGTTGTTCAGTCCTGGTATGTTAACAGCTGCCAAAGTAAAACTGTGACTCAGTTGAAATATTTACCTGTAGATAATCTGAATGGCCACTCTAGAACCTGCAGCACCATTGGAGGACGTGTTGATGTGTCTCTCCAATATTCATGAACAAGAACCTGAGTTCCCGCTGCTTTAGTGCATATTATTTATTAATTTATTTACTAAAGCATATCTGTGTACATCTGTTGACAACAATGAAATCCCAACGCATTTACTACCGTTTTATATTTTTTTCTTTTGTGCAAGCTAAAAATCAGGACTTCAAGCCCTCGGTGGCTCACTTTAGTTTTCTTATGGTGACGTAATTAGCAATGCTAATGAGAGAAAGCGTTGGTTTCAGGAGTGCTGGGGGAAATTGATTTAGCATCCAGACAAAGCAGATGTGACACTCTTTAAAAACATATTAATCATTTTATGATTCTACAAATTTGATGTCAATGACATGAAATCCTTCCATTGATCTGTATCAGACTCATATGGGAATATACACCATAATTGCTTTTATTACTGATTTAAAAACCTGAATAATTTACAAGCTGGTGTAACAAAAATATTTAGATTCACAGTTTATTCTAGTACCTGCTATTAGAGAAGTTCGGTCAGAGCTTTATTTGTTCTAAATCGTTCTCTGCTGTACCAACATGGGTCGCTGTTGATAATTACCAGTTTATGGGAACATCAGTTGCCATCCAGATTAAAAACAATCCATGGTGCCTTTGACATTTTGAGCGGTTTAGCGGATCCCTGAGCGTTATATTGTCCTCTGTACAGTTTATTCAATGACCTCAAAGACATAATTATGAGAGACACAGAAAGACAGAGACAGCGCTCAAAGTTATGAAAGTGAAATTATTGGTGTCAAAAGTATAATTTTCAGGAGAGGAAAAACTTATTTGGGACAAAGTCACCCAATATATCTAAAGGTGAGACTTGCTTCTACAATAATTTTGGTGGTGACAGTTAAGAGCAAGTCGAGTGGTATTAGCTGGGTTGTTTGTCGCAACAGGTGGCAGGTGGGGGCAAGGTGGGTGGATTTTATGGGTGTTTGGGGGTACTCACTGTTACTTACTTGAACGGCTTCTCTCCTGTGTGTGTGCGGATGTGGTTGTTGAGCGTCGTGGCGCCAGCGAAGGCCCGGCCGCAGTATCCACATTTGAAAGGTCGGTCGCTGGAGTGCGTCACTACATGGTTCCTCAACTCTGACGGCTGAGAGAAGGACTGGGAGCAGTGGCCACACTGGTATGGTCTGAGGACAAAGACAGTCGGATGAAAGAAGAAAACAGAAGGTGTGTGCGTGCGGGAATGGCTTAAATTCACTGCCTTAAATTTGCATTCTTTCTAACAGTCAGCAGGGGGCACCATTTGTAGTTGCAAAAAGAGGACTGCTACTAGTGCTCACTTTATCGAAAATGAATTTAGAATATTATTGTAAAAGGCAAGATTTTAAACTAGTGATTGAGGCGAGGTCATAGAGGATGTGAGCTGAAGCTTCATTTTCTCATAGACTTCTACACATTCACATCCTCTTCAGTTACCTGAGATGTCTCCCCCTACTGGCCATGATGTTACTTACCCGTAGGTCTATTGGTAAGATCATATTTTATTTTGTTAGCTCTGTTACTTTGTGACTCTTGTGCTCCATGTATTAATTTACCACGACATGAAAATTCATCAAAAAAAGAATTATTTCTTCATCTTCCCCATGAAGATTCTTCATTTTTATGGGTTTGTTCCACCTTTTCTGTTGTTCTTCCATTATCACAAAGAAACAATGATGCACAGATGAATTTTTCTGGGTGCTTGTAACTGGAGTGGAGCAACGTGAATTAACACAAAATGAAAATTTGGAGACATTTTGTTTACATACAGAAAAACATGAGCCTGCACACATTACAGCTCACTAAAAAGCAATATATATGGTCTATAAACACACGCAAACAGGGGGCGGGGGAAGTCGGACACTGCTCCGGTAACCATGGCAGCCTGACCCTCATCAACAATGCAGGCCTAGATCATGACTGGACCATTTATCATGGTGTGTGTGTGTGTGTGTGTTTGTGAAGAATAGCAGTTACACAGAATGAGATAGAGACAGTAAGAGAACAAGAAAAGAAGAGATATATTAGGTTATTGTGTGTCAGTGTGTGTGTGTGCGTGTGTGTGTGTTTGGCCCAAATGGGAGTTAAACAAACAACCAAACAGAAGCTGTGTGTCTGCTAATAGAGTGTCCTGCTTCCATACAGCAGCAGATCTAATCTCACACTCCTTCCATTCGCTGAGCCGAACACGCAGCCAGCTGTGAACATTATCGAGGTATTTTGTTTTCACTTACAGGACACTTCAGCCTCTGCTCATATCTTGCATCTCCTCTCTTTTCCCCCATTATCATTTTCAGGCTCTGTGTGCAAACCTCTGTTTCCCACATACAGACTTTACTTAGGCAGCCCGCCCAAGCATATATGTTGATGCTTTTCTTTATTATCTTTTTGAGAGGATAATTTAGTACTGCTCAACCCTCTGCTAAACAAACTCACCCCGGCTCTTTTCTTCACATGTTTTCCTTACAGGCTGTCTCACTGGCCACATTGCTATCTGTGTAGGTTTCTTGATATCATTTAGCTACGTCTTCAGAGAGGATCATCGTCCACCTCCCTGATGGCAGCAGTCCCTTCATCTGATCTGAAAACTTACTGAAGTGGAGAGTCAGTCTAACCAGAACACAGCAGCTGATTATATTGGTCCAATATATACATTTATCTGTAAGTATTTTGAAATGTCACTATTTACAGAGCAGAGACTTGTAGCAGTAGTATTTCACATGCCTTTTTTCTTCCACAGTTTGGTTTGCACATTGCATTCCAGTTTTATGGACTGCTTGTTTAAAATCACTAAAATTGCAGAGTGAGACCTGAAACAAAATCAAGCTTCGAGGCACTCCATGGCTTTGACACAGCACCACAGGAAGATGTGGGGTTAAAGTACATAGAAAGTCAGTTAGTGCCGTGTATCAGTCAGTGTGCATTGATGAGCCGGGAGCTCTGAGGTGATTAGCTGCTGTGTGTCTTCTGTCAGTCACATTAACGACCTCAGGAGTACACTGAGGATCCCGTTTTTAAAGCTGCTTTAAAGACAGGGATCAGGGACGCTCTGGTGATTACCATTGGTACTTTATCTGCTACAGTCACACTTTAGCTAAGCATGGATATTATCATTAATTACTTTAATGAGTGTTATGGCTACTTTTACTCATTGTAATTGTAATCAGCATTATTATTGCGTCAAACGCAGGTGGGGCTCCTCTGTGTTTCATTTGCTGGTTCTTCCCATGTGTGGATTTTCTCCAAGAGCCTGGGAGACATTCAGGCCCAGGATATAAAAGAACCAGAGCTGGAGCCTATCCCAGCTGTCATAGCAACCTCTCACCCCACGAGAGCAGGGTTCACCTTGGACATGTTGCATGCTCACATTCACACCTACGGCCAGAGATGGTCAGTAAAACGTTAAAGGTAATGCGTTACTGTAATCTGATTACTTTTTTCATGTAACAAGTAAAGTAAGGGATTACTGTTGCAAAAAGGTAATTAGATTACTGTTACTTTCCCTAATATGGAGTGCGGGAGAGAGTACGACCATGCAGTGTTTAAAGCTTGGAAGCATTTACATCACTTTGAGTTTGATTCCATGAAAAGCGACAAAAACATCAGCGTCCAATGTACTCTGCGTGGGAAGAAAATTTCTTTCTACAGCAAAAAATTAAACTTCTAATCTGAGCAGGCACCTAGCACGCCGCCACGGGAATGTGAAATTTAAAGAGAAACCCCCGGATCTCCCCCACTGACATGACTGCTGCGGCACTGGGCAAACCTCCACCTGCCTCACAGGACTCAGTGCTGCTGGATCTTTGAATGTGTGTTTTACTTGCATCTATTTGAAAGAGTGAGTGTAAACACAAAACACTTGATTTTATATGATGGATTATGCAGAAAAAAATTGAATTGGGCTGAAAGGTCTATTCTTTATTATGTATTTAGGTTGTGTGGCATGTTTTTGAAAAGTAACTAAGTAATAAAGTAACAAATTACTTTTGAAAATAAATAATCAGCAAAGTAATGGGATTACTTTCATTGAGAAGTAATCAATAATTAGTAACTAATTACCATTTTCAAGTAACTTGACCAACACTGCCTACGGCCAGTTTAAAATCACCAGTTAATCAGGCAATCATGGAATACACTGCAGAAGGATTTGCAGCTCTCTCAGCTGATTTCGCTGAGAGGTCTCCTTCTTCGGTGGTTTCTTTCTTCCTCTTTTTCTCAAATTTATGGATTAATGAAGTTTATTTTATCCTTTTATGAACCAGGCTTTTAGACCTCTCTGAGACACACTTTGATTTCTTGTCTTTACCATCTTTATCTCTCCGTAGTCCAAAAACATCTCATCAGACTTGTATATCCATCCATCCATCCATCTTCGACCACTTATTCGGGGAAGCAGTCTAAGCAGTGAACCCCAGACTGCCCTCGCCCCCTCCACGTCTTCCAGCTCATTCAGGGAGCACACCAAGTTTATCCAAGACAGCTCAGAGACATAACCTCTCTGGTGAGTCCTGGGGCTGCCCCTGGTTCTCCTCCCAGTAGGACATGCCTGAAAGACCTCACCTATGAGGCACTAAAATCGGTTGGCTCAACCACCTTAAGTGGCTCCTTTCAGTGGAGGAGCAGTATCTCTGAAGGAGATCCCCTTCATGATTTCCTCCTGGTAGGATCTCCCAAGGCAAATTGGACCTGGATGAGGGGCCAGACAAAGAGAAATTCTGACAACCGCTATGATGACTAAAAAAACCCCCCCAAAAATCAAGGGTCCAGTTTACACTGTCCAGACAAGGTCACCAGAGGTAGAGGCTGAAGGTGCGAGCCTCTGGTGGCCCGGTCCAACTAGGCTTAGCCTGAAAACCTACATGAATATATAGAAGCCGCCAGGGGGGCTTGAAAAATGTTTAGTCATGAAGGAAATGGAAAAATGATATAGTTTTTTCTGTTTTCCTTTTCATATGGGTCACTTGGTTCTGTATTACTGTGTAAGCTGTTAAACTGACAGGATAAACTCCCATGTGCTGCCTGAAAATAAAGCGATTTTCATTCTGAAACTAATAAGACAAAACTCTGACATCAGTTCCTTACAAATGGGTAAATACCCCAGAACTAGAATAAAACAAATAGACCAACATCTTCACCACTCTAATAAATCACAAACACCCACAATACCCTGAGACGATGTAGACACACACACACACACACACACACACACACACACACACACACACACACACACAGGAAAGTAATAAGAGTAAAATAGTGTAATATAAAATCGAAAAATTCTCACTTGCAGTTTTCCACATAAAAGGCGTCTCGCCGTGGGGGTCGGTTCATTTATCAGCCGGCCGGTCTATAAGTTCACGCCTCAGTGGGCCGCACCACTATTTATTAGGTGGGTTTTCTATGAAGAGCTGCATTGATTGTGAATAGTTTAAGTTGATGAATGTGTGGATATTATTTATTAAGGCAGCAGGCCGGGAGATTAATGCCCGGTTATTGTTTATTACAGGGAGGAGTGGAGGAGGAGGAGGTGAAGCATAAACACCTCTATCATGCACATAAACACACATGGACACACAGGTATGTGCATATGCAACCAAAATATGGGAACAGACAGGCAAATGCAAATACGATCATTTATGCATAAATTACCGCACATACTGTACGGTCTGGGTTTTATACCAGAAACACTGAACTTCTTTACCATGAAACACAGGGGTGTGCGGATAACACAGAGAGGGGAAAAAAGCTTTAGGAAACTTTAGTTTTTAACAGATTTCACTGGTGAATGTGACACTGAGCACTGAAATGAAATACAGATAATATTTCAAAATATCAAGGTTTTTCCTGGCTTTTAATGGGCATGCTGAAAACCAGACTAGGTCTGCCTATAGCTAAAACAAGTAGTCTGTGTTTCCACGTTTAAAAGGACCCTTTTCCTCTCAATTTCATAATGAAATGTAGCTAGCAAGCTTTCTACTCTTGTTCTATGACAGCTGAAGCAATTAAGAAAAGTGATAGATTGACATTTTTTGCATGCGGGATAAATCCTAATTAACTCCCCAAATAAGTTCCTAGAGGACTGTTGCTGAAACGTCACATTAAATTTGTTTCGAAGGGGAAACAAATTTCAAACAAATTGTTTTACATT